GTAATAGTAGGCAGGTCCACTGTAAACCAATGCAAACTTGTTCTGAGTTTTGAGTAGACCTATGCGGTTTAACATAGCTCTTAACCACCATCATCTGAACACAAAAGGTTGATATATATTTTTGCAAGCTAGTTGTTCCATCCCTATATTCCACATGATGCTCCTTCCCACTTGGAGAATTGATGTCAAGGCCCATTGAAACTGTTGTGACAGTATGTGGTGTCCCAGAACCCTAATAAGACACTTAATGTTGCTTGCTGTGTTTGCCATGCATCTGTATGTTTGAGAACTCCAGAAAAGACTCTAAAAATACTGTTTCTTTCTTGTGTTGTAGAAAGTATTATCATGGGGTGGCTAGTAGTGTTACATTAGTACAATAATGCTAGTTCTACCTGGATTATTAAAATCTGTCCCGTGAGGTCAACTGGCAAGGTTTAAGAACTGTCATGTTGGCGAGGAATTGTTCATGAAATATATTTTATTTCAGTTGAACTGCTCAATAGTCGCCTCTGACCTCTTACTTCTGTGCAGTGTGGAAAAAGTACAAAGAATAGGTCAGCACATGTAAAACATTGCATCACTGCATAACTTGCTAGTTAAGTTTTCAAGAAAAGAAAATATGCGAGTAATAAAGTTATAAAGTCTTTCTACACTGTGGTCTGTTGAGTTTTTATATATACAAGGAAATGAACTGTATGTAAATCTGATTATACACTGTTTTACATATTTTTTTAATGTTTTTCTATTTTTCAGCCTATATTCATTCTAATCAGATTATGGGCTGGGGTGAGAAAGCCATAGAGATCCGTTCTGTAGAAACGGGTCACCTGGATGGAGTTTTTATGCACAAGAGAGCCCAGAGACTAAAATTCCTGTGTGAGCGGAATGACAAGGTAATATGCTGACTTACTGCTTTGGACTAGTGTGGCACTAGTCACATACTGTAAAATTACCTAACATTACTTGCTCTAGTTTTGAGTGTTTTGCGGTTGCAGTGCTTTTCTGTATGGATAGAGCAGAGCCCACATTTGCATATGGAAGCTTTTAAAACATGAATTCTAAGAACTAAGTTTATTATACGGTGCACCCGAAACATAACCAAACAACAAAGTTTGAATGAACTGCCACGCATAATTTTAGCGTTTTGGGAATAATACTGCTGTATTTCAAGAGTGGGACCATATCTCATACACTCCCTTTTCAGTCCCATGGTTTATATATGCCTCCCTGCACTCCAGGCAGTTTATTATCTCCTTCTCCTTTCTCATTTCCCACACTTCTCATTAGTACTGTGGATCTGCTCAGCCCAGGAGCTGCTGCCAGTCCTCATTAATGCCTTCTTCAGGCTATATGGATATATGCTTATCTTTCAATAAATGTCGCCTAGCCTAACTCCGGATGTGGTCCCTTCTAGTGAAAAAGAGTTTTAGATGCAGGTTGGACATACCTATGCATATGTCACAGTTTGTAGGTGGTGATGTCTCGAGTACACTTAACATATTATTTGATAAAAGTAAATTCAATTGCATCATTGCTAATAATAATTGTGCTTTTTGAGAACACATGCTTTTCATGTTTTTTTTATCCAGGTATTCTTTGCATCCGTGCGCTCAGGAGGTAGCAGCCAAGTTTTCTTCATGACGCTCAACAGAAACTCTATGATGAACTGGTGATGTCTCCCCTTACTCACTCTGCCTCACTCTCCCACTGGTGGCAGCCGACCTTGACCCACCACACATCTCACAAGTGAACCCGACTCACCGAGATGCCACAAATGAACTGTTGCAACACTGGAGAGGCTAACAAAGTGTAGAGAGAGAGAAAAAGAAGTTATTTTAGTGGAAAAAAAACAATTCTAAATAAAGACAGAAGTTATTCTAGATTAAACCGGGTCATTCAGAAGCCATCCAGCTGACTGGCAAACTGGTGCCACCGACTTTCCAAACAATCTCTTCTTCCCTGTTTCTCTGCAACTCTTCTTTTTATGTAGCTCAATTTTTCTCTTTATTCCCTCAAAACTGACCAGTGCATCCAAGTGTTTGACAAATGTAGAAATACACTTTTGACCTTTCTTAACCCCCCTCCCTTCACTCCTGTCCATCTTGGTAGCTCAAACTCATTTTCAGTCCTTTGAGACCCATATTCATCAATTTCTTTACTTCCTACCCACTGTGTGTGGAATACTACTACACCTCAGAGATTGGAGAAGCAATATATGAATACAATTTAATCTAAATTTAAATATACTTCTAATAGAACGGTGCAGGGAGAGCAGCTGAGAGATGACAAATCCTCTTTGAATGTCAGCGATGAAAGCAGACAGCCTGATTGATTTTCTTTCTCCTTTGACACTCCCTTCCTCCTCCACTTCCTCCCCTCACTATCTTTTGGTTTCTGAGAAAACCGAGTTGTGATTTAACGTTCGATCGCATGCCACCGATAGAGATGCGGTGAGACATTCTGCCGTCAGGTGGGTCTTAACAGTATGCAAAGATGATATCTGTGTCCCTTTAAAATGAAAATCACTGGTCCATCCTGTCCCCTTCCCTTCTTTGTTTTCCTTTCATTCCTCACCTCACCCCTTTCCGCCAACATCGTGATGATGATCTCTTCACTTTTACGTCTTTAAACTCTGAAGGTGCTGCATCAGATATACTGTAATATTAAACGAGCAATGGGAGTGGGGTTTTTTTTTGTTTTGTTTATTTCTGTTCTTTTATTTTTCTGTGGGACAGTTTTGAGTCAGACAGTCTTTGAAGTTTGATGAAATGTACAGCACATCTGTGTCTCTGAAATCAGGAGTGTATTTTAGTGTGTACGTATGCGTGCGTGTGAATTTGTGTATCTCAATCAAAGTTGGACATTGAAATCAATGTCCGGCGAGAATAAAGTAATTCATGTCTTTGTGTGTAAACTTACCTTAATCTGATCAAAGCAACACTGAGTGTGTTTACATGCAGATTTATAATTTTATCTTCGTAGTATGAAGTTTATGAGTTGGTGTCTGAACACCATACGTTTAAAATAGGCAATATTAATGGCTGATTTTGGGGTGGGAGGGGGGTGTTTTGTGTGTTTCCATGAACACAGTAGTGTCTTGGCTGTTCACTCTTACAGCCGCTTAGCTGCAGAAATATGACAATGCATATAAAGAGCTCATAGCCTCAACAGGATATGAGCTACTATCCCAAATACTGTGTGCATGTGAAAGCACTCGTTGTTAACAACTGTGGGGTCGTCTTGAATCATGCTCCTCCTTGGTTGGTTCTTCTGATTTTTGGCTCCTAACTGTTTGTACAGTGCCTAGCATGATGTAAGCAAAACTTAATCAGAGGCCAAAAGATTACTGCTTTTTTTTTGGCCGATATGGTTACATTACAGGTTTGTTTTTGGTTGTTCTTTTTTTAATCTCTGTGAAGGTTATTATCTAACGTAACTGACTGGCGATGTTATTTTTCTCCACTTATGGAGATGTACATTAACAAATTTAAGAGTTTGATTATTCTTTGAAAGGAGCAACTAATTATGACGAAACTTTGCCATATATGTCCAAATACTTTGCACAGCTCAATCATCAAAATTATGAAATCGATTTTACTTGTCAAAATTGAGGCGATTTTGGCTTTACATTAAAACCGTCATCATCCCACCACCTGGAGACAAGCTTCGGGAAGCTCATGTAGAACTCAGTTACTGTAACTATGAAAATATGAAGACTTTGCATGAGCAGTAAATTAAAACCACTAAAGACCTAAAACTCACACCTTTAACAGAAATGCAACCAGCTGGCACACCTGCCACATATAATAGTCCTGGTGATGGTTTAAATTTAAAGTCAGAGCTTAAAAAGATGGACTCCTGTTTTGTAATAACTTTGCTCTTAGATTTCTCAGTAAATTGGTTCTCTGGTTCACAAAAAATGGACATGTTTCTCAAAGTAATGATCCTCTGATTGAAGTTCTTATTTTCTGTTAAATTGTTGAATGTTTTCTGTTGTATTTTCAAGGATTTTTTACACATCCATATACAGTAGTAGCTGTTACTGTGCACCTGTAACTTAGGGTTACCGATCTCTGTTAGGGGGAGCAGGCTCTAACATTATAGCAATAAAGAGCTTAGCTGCAGAAACCACTGTCTTCCGTGTGTGTGTGTATGTGTGCACACATGCATTTCTGTGTCTGATTAATGATCATGTGGGAATGGGGCATTATTGAGGTGTTTGTTAATCATTTAATTCGCTCCCCTCATTGGAAAATGCTGACTGTCATTACACTGAGGTTTCTCCTTTCAAAGACGAAACCACTTTATTCTTTATTCAATTTAATTCTTGTTTTCTTTATTTTAAAAGAGCATTACTAATGTCCTGTTTTGGGATTTATTTGTTTTGTAAAAGAGATGCTGTAAGAGAGAAATAAATGAAACTAGCATTACTCTTCTCGAGTTGTGTGCTTTCTAAACATGTTTATGAGAGAGTCAGTTGTTTTTTGCAAGTTTGCACATTCGTATCACGTCTGATCCTCAGACTTTGTCCAGTCCAGCACTCAAGTATATCATTAACAGCAAATGTGTGTGTGTGTGTGTGTGTGTGTGTAAGAGTGAGAGGAAGAGAAAGATAATGTCATTGCTCCTAACAAGAAAAGCATTTTTTAGCAACAGTATGCTAACTTTGGATTCCATATTTAATTGCAATATAAACGTCATGTTTCATAATAATCAAGTGGAAGCACCACACAGAAGATCTTTAGATCAGAACTTTTCAACGTAAATTCTTCGTTGTCTCATTATACTTGCCATAAATATGATATACTATAGTAGTATGTAGGTTTGTGCATTGAAATCAGGAATATTATTGCTTCATTTATTTGTAAAAGGTCTTCCTGGGATGTGTGTGCATCTATGTGCATGTGCCGCCATGTGTGTGTTTGTCTTTAGTCAGTGGACACAGTGTAATCAGGCATGCTGCTTGATCATTGCTAAACTCCTGACACTTTGGACCCAGCATGAAGACGGGAAAGGTAAGCGTATTTGGACATGTACATTCTTTACATTCTTTGCGCTTTATAAATGGCTACATATCTATCTCCTTTTACTGGTTCATGGAAAGCAGTGTTTGAAAGCAGGTGTCGTTGGCGTAAAGATGCTTAAAGCTTAGAGACTGTTAAACGAGAGGACACTGGCTTTTAATCATCAGGGCGTCCTGCTTGCATTATTACCTTGCTTAAGACACTCTCGTGATTAAAATGATGTGTCTGCTTCAAAGAGACCTTAAACTTGTTTAATTACTTTTGTGTGAAAGCATTTATTTACAGAAATGGTGAATAAAGGAGTAACTCTTTGAGCCACCCCTCATTTCTTTACATTTTGCCTCTTTTGTGTGCCTTTCTCTTTTTTTGTATGTCCTCCTCTTGTCTGTATATATTTCTGCTGTTTGGTGTTTATTCCTGCTGCCTGGATACCTCAGGAGCTAGACCTTCTTCAATTTTATTCTTCTTCTTCAGGAATACATGACAGTATTCATGTTTTTATTTATTTTGTTATTCACTGTACATGTGGGTGCAGCATTTTCACTCATCCAAGTGACTTCTTCAGTCTCAGCTGACTGCAAGTTTCCCAACCTTTACATTTGCATAATGACTGAAACTAGCACCGTTAATGTACAATGGGTCATAAAGTCAGTTATCAATGATCAGTATTATATAAATTGTAATGGGATCAAAGGGTATCAATATCTGTCTGTCATTTTAAAGAAGAAGGACTCCACTGCTGCATTGATCCCAGACTGGAGGTTATCTGAAATTTGGAGATGTCCTGCCTACTTGAGAGAGCCATTTGGGTGTCATGGAGCAATGTAGCAGTAACAGCCTAAGCAGGTAGAGCGAATAATGCTCTACCTGTTGATCTGACTGTCTAACGCTCAGCTGGAAAATGTACTTGAAAAAAAAAAGTTACCTTTCCTCCCCCAAAAAGTTAGGAAAGCAGCAATTGTTTACTCCTCCTGTCCCATGCCAGCATGCCCTGAGCTTATCATTAGGCAAATGTTTGCGCTATAACTGTCTATACTGTGTTCAGCTTCTGTTGTTTTTAGTTGCTTCTGTTCCCGTAGAGGAGGTCAGATTTCATGGACTCTGGATATCAGCTCTGCTTTTTCCAGATTAGTTGGTTCTCTTACTGTTTTGTGTAGTATATAATGAGAATATTAAAAGGATATTTCAAAGTCATATGGGATGCAGGTTTTTGGGGCCCTCTTCTTTGGAACCAGCTCCCAGTTTGTTTATGGGAGACAGATATTTACTTGTAAGATTAGGCATAAAACTTTCTTTTTTGATAAAAGATATAGATTAGGTGACCATGAATACTCCCTTAGTTATGCTGCAAAAAGCCTGAGCTGCTGGGGCCTGAATGTTTCTCATTCGCTCCCCTTTTTTAATCACTGGGTGTTCAAACACCACTCTGTCTGAGATTAGTAATTATTATTCTCTGGGTCTCTTTCACAATGTGTCTTTTGTGCTGTCTTCCTCCCCTCACCCTTGGCCAGTCATGGCAGATGACTGCCCCTTCCTAAGCCTGGTTCTGCCAGAGTTTTCTTCCTTTTAAATTTGAATTTTCCATTCCCACTGTTTCCATCTTTTTCACAGGAGGTCATTTGTTTTTGAGATTTTCTCTGCTACTGTACACTCTTTACCTTACAATGCAAAGGGCCTTGAAGTGTCTGCTGTTGTGTTGTGGTGCTATATACATCAATCTGAATTGAACTTGAACTTGAACATTCAGGAAGGTACATCCAGCTTGTGTTAGAGCAGTTTGGAGCTGAATGTGAAGTGACTGGCAGGAAATGGGAATTAGCACCTCCAAGTGCAAAGCCATGGCTCTCGGTTAATGGTAGACTGCCCACTTTGGGTCAGAGATGAGTTCCTGCCCCAAATTGAGTAGTTTAAAGATCTCTGAGTCTTGTTCACAAGTGAGGGGAGAATGGAGCAGGAGTTCGACAGAGAGCTGAGTTAAAGGAGCTGAGCTTAAAAGCAAATCTCAAGCTTTATAGGTTGATCTAGGGTCCTACTCCCACCTGTGGCCATGAGCTGTGGCCAGTGACCAACAAAATCAAATTGTGGATACAAGCAGCAGGAATGAGTTTTCTCTTCTCTGAAGGGTGTCTTTGCTTAGCCTTAGCCATAGGGTGTCGAGCTTGGTCATGTGGGAGAGGCTCAGAGTAGAGTTGCTATTCCTCTTCACTGAAAGGCGGCTGCTGAGGTGGCATTGGCATCAGACCAGGATGCCTCCCAAATGCCTCTTTTTTGGGTATGACCTACAAGCTCAGGACATGCTGGAGAGATTATATATTTTGGCTGACTGAGATTGCAGTGAATCTCTGTAAAGACTGCTATGTAACCAATGTAAGTGGCCAGTGCTCTCACTGGCATTCATGCTTATCTGTATATTAATTGACCTGTGGTTGTGTCTTGGTGCCAGCCACAATAAAAAAAATATATAAAAGGGTGGGGCATTTTCCCTCCTGGGTCCCCACTTGTCCCCCACCCCCTTCTTCTTGAATCCATTCCAGCAGTTTCTACAATCTCCTTCAGCAATTTCCTGACATCAGGGAATTTATATCTTGATAGTTACTCCTGTTGAGATGCTACGTAATAGGCTAATCACAGTAGTTGTCAGTGTGACATGTAATTACATTTCCGGGGAGGTCCACCACAGCTTATGACATGGGTTATATAAGGGTGGTCATACCAAATATTCACTTTCAAGTTAATTGGAGTTGTATAAACTTTATTTTTGCTTTATAGATTGTATTTCCATGTATATTTGCATGTTTCAATAATTGGCTGTTTTTGGGTTAGCCATAGTGTTGTATAAAGAACTGAGAGGTGGCTCCAGACCTTCGCACAGCACTGTATTTTTATTTCTACTGTGAAATAACACTGAGTTTATTATAAATAAAGCAGCTTGTGTTTGTTCGTCTATTAATTTCTGTGGACTCATCATTACTGTTCACTTCTGCAGCAGCTAACAGGCACTCTAGCTCTGGCTGTGTTCACAGCCACTCTGGGATCCCTACAGTTTGGATACAGTCTTGGAGTCATCAACGCACCCCAAAAGGTAGACTACTTCACCCTTACTAAGCTACCCAATTGTCCCTGCCAGCCAGGGTGAACAGGAGGGATGTAAAATTCTGTAGCAATTTGGTGCTTTTTGATTACATTGTTAGGTAAGGTAAGGTTTATATTTAGCACTAGACTGGATGACTGGGAAGTAGAGATTGACTGATATAGGATTTTTAAATAATGAAATGACAGTGAAGTTTGAAAATAATCTTATTGTCCATTGTTGCAAGTTTACATTCTGTCCAATTTAGTCATGGACTGTAAGAGATGATAAAAATGACCTTCTGATTACTATAGCACACATATACACACTTGGGAAGATCCTCTACACGCTCAGTACATTTAACTTTCAGTGTAGTGTTAATGCTTGAGTGGGAGTATTTGAAACCGAATAATAATCTTTTCCTAAATCTAACTGAATAGTTTTAGCAGGTAAAACCTCACCGAATAGTGAACCAGAATCTGCCAGGTTCCACTACCACCTCACTACAGAAGATTTGAAATTTAAAAACTTTTATATATATCAGTATATCATCAATGTTGCAACTTTGTAATGAACATCAAAAAGTTAAGAAAATGATTAAATGAATGAAGAAAAAATTAACTAATGTACTGTCTGTGCTTTGATGAAACTTCTTTGTACACTGTTATGAAATGTGGTGAAAAAACAAAATCTGTCTATACATTTGTATAAACTGTGTATACTGAGGGATGTTCATGGTGGATTTTCTCCCTATAGGACTTCACGTTTGGATGCAACATATTTGTATTTATTTGTGCAAGCAAATTTTGAGTCAAGTCTATCTCTATGTTTGCAGCCTTCCTCGTACTGTTTCATAACATGTCTGTGTCTGTATTGTAGATCATTGAAAAGAGTTATGGCCAGTCCCTGGGTGTGTGGACAGAAAGGGCTGCTGGTTCATCAGAAAACATCACAGAAGAAGACCCAGGTCACCACCCTTCTGTGATCATGTATTGGTCATTGTCAGTGGCAATCTTCTCCATCGGTGGCATGGTATCCTCCTTCTTGGTTGGATTTGTGGGTGATCTGAAAGGGAGGTAAGAAAAGAAAAATGAATTAAAATGGCACAAGTGAAACAAATTTGGTTAAAAAACTAAAAGCTAGAGTATGGAAAATGATTAGACTAACGACAGGAGTGATGTAGCAAGTTTAGGGAGGAACATTTTTTGTATTAAACTGTCAGTTTACTTTCTCTTGTTTTGCAGGGTAAAAGGGATGTTAATGGTCAATGTTCTGGCTGTAGCAGCTGGACTGCTGATGGGTCTTTGTAAGATGTGGAAGCCACACATCATGGTCATCTCAGGCCGCGCTGTCATGGGTTTCTATTGTGGTACATTAACAAACATCTTACAGTCTTCAATCAACGCTCACATAATGAAATCCCAGTGTTTAAGGGTTTTATGTAAACACTGCGCTGGGATTTCTAAATGAACAAGAGTTCCTAAATTGCACATGGACATTAAACAACAGTCTTGTTATACTGTCGTATCTGTAACTGCAAATGTATTAATTTAAATGGTTTCACTTATAATGCATATTTAAGGTCTGGCATCTGGGCTAGTCCCTATGTACATTGGGGAGATTGCACCAAAAGCTTACAGAGGGGCTCTGGGAGCATTACACCAGCTCGCTGTTGTCATTGGCATTCTAATCAGCCAGGTGAGCTACAGTCATCCACGCACATGTACATGCACATCATCTTTGCTCAAGAGCACATGAAGGATATAATCTGAAATGTATATGTTGATGCAGGTAATAGGTTTGGATTTTGCGCTTGGTAATGATAAAATGTGGCCCCTGTTGCTTGGTCTGTCTGGAGCTCCAGCAATATTACAATCCCTTCTGCTGCCTCTTTGTCCTGAGAGTCCACGATACCTTTACATCCTATTGGGCAAGGAGCAAGAGGCTCGACAAAGTAAGTACAGAAACTTACTCCTCATCGTGGAACTTTCAAATGTATATTTTGGCAGTACGCTTGGGTAAATTATTGCACATGAGAGGTATTATACACACTGTTGGCAGCTGGTTTGTTTAGCTTAGAACAAAGAGTAAAAATAGAGGATAACAAAAACAAAAAGACCAAAAAAACAGGACACCGGGGAAGTGTTTTTATTATTTTTGGAGACCTTGATAGGCACTCCCGGCAACTCCTGGCAATATGACGAATAACTGAATTTCCAAGATTCATAAATAGCTTTTACTTTTCTCTGGCAATACTTTTTGGCACATTTACTGATTCTTTTATAGTGCTTTTCTGCTCTCCAGGAACACTCAAACAATTAACGCCAGCATTTTGCCTCCCATATTAAAGCCATTTTTAAAAGCATGTTTTTAACTGTACAGGACATTTTAAATTATAGTCCTACAACAGTTATTTAAGTAAGGAATTGGAAAATTTTATGATTTGTTTCAGGTCTGTGTCGTCTAAAAGGGCCGTATGATCCAACTATGGATCTGGAAGAGATGAGAAGGGAAAAAGAAGAGGCAAACAAAGAGGCCAGAGTCTCTATCTTTTCTTTGGTAGGTGTCTATTGTTTATACACCGTTTACCATTCATTTTCACAAAATGTCAATATTTCAGCAGCACCTCAAAAGAAAAGTTCAGGTTTTATGGCTTTAAAACAGTTATTTTTGTATTTCAAATAGCCTGAGCCACTAGAAATAATATTGCAACCAGAATATTTCTGAGTGTATAATACAGCATTCTGGTATTTCCACTGAATTCCCCAAAGATAGGGAGAAAAAAAACACCATTCACACAAATTTATCAAAAAAAAAGTTTGTTTTTAAAAAAACGATATTTCACTTTTGTCTGTTCTCTCCCAGATCTGCTCTTCTGTATACAGAAAACAGCTGGTTGTTGCCCTCATGATGCACCTCTCCCAGCAGTTGTCTGGCATCAATGCTGTGAGTGGAAAAAGCAGTTTTAACTCTGTCTGAGTTAATTGACTACAGACCTGTGACTTTTCCTGAGTATGCAACCACTCAGAGTGTCAAGAAAACCTTTGCTTGTTTTCTCTTTAAGATCTTTTACTACTCTACGGCTATCTTCTCTCGAGCTGGTGTCAGTCATCCAGTTTATGCCACTATAGGAGTCGGGGTCATCAACATGATCTTCACTATGGTGTCTGTGAGTAGCAATATGAATACAAAACACACATAAACTTGCAAAAAATGTAAAACAGGAACCATGTACTGGCATAGTATTGTTTCTTCAATCTACACACTGTTACATACATGTAAACACACACACATTTATATGTATATATGTGTTCCAGGTGGCACTGGTGGACAGGGCTGGCAGACGCACCCTAACTCTGGTTGGTCTTGGGGGAATGTGTTGCTGTGCTGTTGCCATGACAGTGGGCCTCAAATTGCAGGTTTGTCACTTCAGATTCATACCTTCAGTCTTTTTGCAATGCTTTGATCATATTATGTAGTGCAGAAAAGTTACATCACTGTTGATATCTTGATCAACTTGTTTATCAGTCTGTATTTTAAAAGTAAAGTAAACAAAAAGACTGTATAAAACAGGCAATTGCATAATTACATTTAAAGATAATTATAGAATATTATTATGTGTTAAGTTGAGATGTCATTTTGAGTCGGGAATAAAGCCAGAAAAAATAGCTGGAAGGTTGGGTTCTGCAGAGAGAGCTCCTACATTTCTTGTGCATACTCAGTGAGACACGCCTATGAACAGAAAGTAACAAAAAGTGCTCAAACCGCATTTTTTCCTTTTTAATGTCCATAAATTTGAATAAAACTGTTTTTCTTGATTGATGTGCTCTTTCCTCCAGAATGAATATTCGTGGATGAGCTACGTCAGCATGTCAGCTATCTTCCTCTTTGTAAGTTTCTTTGAGATCGGGCCTGGTCCCATTCCGTGGTTCATAGTGGCTGAACTGTTCAGCCAGGGACCTCGACCTGCTGCTATTGCTCTAGCTGGCTGCTGTAACTGGACCTGCAACTTCATCATAGGCATGACCTTTCAGTATATACAGGTGAGGGGGAAAAGACACACATAGGCAATGTAAACTTGTGCTTCTCGTGAACCCAAATAGGTTGACATATCTCAGCTTCACTAATAATTCCTGATTTGTGTTTTTAATATTTCTCACCAGGACTGGTTGGGTTCTTACGTGTTCATCCTGTTTGCCGTGCTGCTTCTTGGCTTCGTACTATTTATTTATTTTCGGGTGCCGGAAACCAAGGGCAAATCCTTTGAAGAGATTGCTGCTATCTTCCACAAGGGACGTTGGATCCCTACAGATAATAGTGAACTGCAAGAGCTTAAATCATCCACAAATGCCTAAAACAAAAGCTGTTTGCTTTTGAAGTCTTATTCTATGATATACAAGTGTATATTCGATATTATTTCCTAGATGCTCGTTTATCACACACTTATCAATTTAGCGTTATAACGACCACCTGATTTGTTAAAGAGAAATTTTTTAAGGCTTGTGAACTACACAAAAACCAACGCTGAAATGTTGGAAAGTGTCATGTTTCCGTTATGCATGGAGAAAGGTTTACATTTTATCAAAATATGAGGGAAACTTTCAAAGAAGCTACAATCATTTTACACTGACAACAAATAACATGACATGACTGACTCTACAGAAAATTACAACCCAACTCTGCAGTTCACCTCAGCTCTATGAAACTTAGTTTATATGTGTAGCATCGTTAGTTTCCAGGATACTTACTACTGTTTTGGTTCTCTTTTATCATCCTCATAGTGATATTTACAGCCATTGCACATTATTATTTTTAAGTATATAAACTAAATGTAAACTACCTACTCAAGACCAAAACTGAATAGAGACTGGCTTATGAATACTGACATATTTAGGGGCTAAAGAGATATCGGCATATGAACAAGGGGAGAGCAAAAAATAGAGCAAAAAGGAGAATGAATATTGGATTTGAATTCATCCTGGGTTTCAAATTAATACTAATTTTGCTCTTTGTGCTAGTGTGTAAAATACTCAGCTTATCAGCTTTAATCTTCTGCCCCCAAGTGGTTATAAAAAATAGTGCTGGCTATTGGCATTAAAGCATGAAAAAACTTAAAACTTAATGAGCTAATGAAACAGCACTGAAGTTAAAACTTGAAACACAAGAGACAACAAACTATTAAAGTGTATGACTATGCTGTATGAATGTTTAGCTGCCATTCAGAAACTTATTATGTCTATTGTTACTGGTTGTTTAATATGTCACCTTTAATCTGCAGAATAATGTATGTATATCCATGTATGTGTCTTACACAAATGAAGTTACCCAGTGATTATATTAATAGTGAGTGCAAGCCTTTGTTTACTTTGTAAAACTGATCAGTGCTTTGAAAGCTAATCATGGTGTAGTCCCTGTTGTGATGTTAAATTACGTGAATTTGAAAGAACATTTATTTATACTCAGTTTAGATTGAAGTGACGTATTAGATGTGATTTTAAAGACTGATAAAGATTTATATTATAATTATTATTATTAATTTCTGCATCATCTTACAAAGTGCACCTGTAAAAAAAAAGAAAAAGAAAAACGGAAAAATGGAGGAACTTTGTGTGTTTACAGTATGTAGCAACACACAAAAAAGACCATTCACTTTGGAAATTCCATGCAAAGAGTCAAGGAGTTCAGAGAACAGATGGTTGGAGATGGGTGTTTAACTGATAATAGAAGAAATTTACTTTGCTTTCAGACACATCTGCTTACCCTGAAACACAATCTGTTTTACGCAGCCCCCAGCAACACCCAGGGAATAATTCAAGACCAATTTGCAGTTGTCAGTGTCATCACTTCACTGTAAGCACCACTGTTGTGTTGTAAATTAAAATCATCATGGGTTAATGCACACATGGAAACACAGGATGGTGCTTTCTCTATCTATGTTTATCTTTAACCACAACAATAACAACCTTTGCCCTAGAGAAATATATATAAATTTTAATGTTCACATTACAAGTTAACAGGCCATATACTTTATGCTTTTAAGAAAATATATTGTCTGATTTTCTTTGTACAAGAAAAAATAAAAGAAGTATTTTAAATCACAATTTTCATTTCGCTGTTTTATTACATTTCACTGATGGACAAACGGCAAATGAAGACATCATGGAAACTCTGGACTGAATTTATCTGCCTGCACTGATTAGCTCAGCAACACCAAAAGACCCGAAAAGGGGTCAAATAACATGGATCATCATAAATTCTATCTTTGGAATAAAAAAAACAACAACTTCACAACATCTAACCATGTCAAGAACACTCTCAAGAAAGTATATAATTGTCAAGGTCTACATTCAAGAGATGTCTTCATGAACAGAAATACAGAGGGTGTACAAAACACAAAACAAGAAGGCCAGATTAGACAGAAAACATCTCAAAAAGCCTGAACAGCTCTGAAAAAGCAATCTCTTATCAATCTCTTTTCCTAATCTCTCCAGTAGAGCATGCTTTTCAATTAGGGAAAAGAAAATTAAAGACAGAGATACCCATAAACAAGCAGTAAGGTGGCTGCAATAAAGGCCTATCAGAGCATTTCAAAGGAGGAAATGCAACATTTAGTGATGTCCATGCCCTCTAGACTTCATACACTGCATGCAAAGTATATTTAAAAATATTTATTTTAAAAAAGTTTATCAAATTAATTTTGAGCCTCTAGTGGACCATGCATAAAAATAGCTGTAATTTCTAAACAGTAATGCACTATTTTCATTAAACCCAGTGAATTAAACCTGAAGGTCTGAACTTCAAGCACATCATGTCTTGACTGTTTGATTTAAAAACCATTCTGATGGTGTACAGAATCAAAACTACAAAAACTGTGCTTTGCCCAAAAATGTGGACCTGGGTGTACTTATTATGTAGGGGTCCCTGTTTTACATGATTTGATTTGAAGATTCGAATTAAATGAGCTCATAAATGCTTTAAAACACTTCACTAGTTTTGATATAGCCTACTGTTGATGCAGGGGGACTTTAAAAAAAAAAGTATTTTTTGGATAGGTCTGTACAGGTGTGCGAGGCAGGGCGGAAGTTACCTCCAGGAAGCCACTGCGCTCCAGCGCATAACGTTGCAACGTATGAGCGCCCCACCCCCCTCCTACTAACACGTCACACATGCCACCGGAGCCCGTACCTGCCCTCTCCGCTTCTCATGCGGTACAAAAGCTCCACGCATGCGAAGTGACTCTCCCTTTTCTCTTTAAGATATAAGGTAAGCTAAATGTTCAGGCTCAAGTTTAATATTTTTGAGAGTAGCGCTGACGTTATGTGCAGCGCTTGTTTACGGTGTAATGAAAACTCACCTCATCTGTAACACTGTGATGCATTCGTTATCTCGACAGTTTGTCGGTAACTTGGAATTAGTGGGCGCTCGTTGAGGTTTTTATTTAGCACTGTTGTCAAGCTAACATTAGCAGCAGTATCGTTATCCAGTGTCAGTGCATGTAGGTTGGGTTAGCGAGCTAACGTGGCTAACTATGACAGAAAAGGGACAGGATGAAGGTGCGGTTAGCGTACTGTTTTAAAGCTGTAGTGGCGGATGATCATCTGGCCCAGCTGCCACGTAACCTGCTAGGTCGTTAATGGGGCTTGTCTAACCTTAGCAGCCTAGCCAGTGTGAGAAAAACGCGACCTTTTGTTTTGACCCAGTGAACGAAAAGGGTGGCTGACAAGTTACCGTGTTGGAGTATTATTTTTTTCCACTTAGTAGTGTTTATGGGAACATTTGGGAACCCAACAGCTTGGTGTCCAAATAGATTTAGCACATTCACATATGACGTTAGCCGTTAGCTTTTCGGGTGGATAGCAGGCAGCTTGGATACCGTGTATGGGTGCAACGCCTAGAAATGTTTACACTAGTTTGGGGAATGCATGTTAAAATTATAGCTTTATTGAACTTTTAGAATAATGCAATAATTATTTTAAAACAAATGCAAAGTAAACAAACTCAAAGTAATTCGAAAGGGATGGCTGACATTAGATCAAGTATTGAATTGTGATAGATTGAGCTAAGTTGTCATGTTTATAATTTGGAAATCTGTGCTGATTACTCACTTTTAATGTCACTTATATAATTCCTCTTGCAATGGGCCATTGGTTTTTGACACTATAAAAATTATATTAACCAAATTCTTTGTTAAATCATCATCTTATTATCATTGTTATTTTTTATTGTGTATATATATTTTTAATTTTTAAAAAAATGTATCCTGGTGATACAGTACAACCTGTGGATCCACTATGGCAGATGATGATTTCTCCACTGCTGATGCTGGGGCCTCTACAACATACCCAATGCAGTGCTCTGCACTGAGGAAGAATGGCTATGTCATGCTGAAAGGTCGTCCCTGTAAGATAGTTGACATGTCTACCTCCAAGACTGGCAAGCATGGACATGCAAAGGTAAAACCACTTTGTCTATACTTTAGAATTCAGCGCTTAAGGAACTTTAGCCTGATGGGTCTCAGTTGTACAAGTAATACAGAATGCTTCTTTGGCACAAGGTAAGCTCTAATCAGTTCATTGTTCCCAGGTTCACCTTACTGGACTTGACATCTTTACGCAGAAAAAGTATGAAGATATCTGCCCATCTACCCACAACATGGATGTTCCAAATATAACAAGGAAAGACTATCAGGTGAATGTTTCTTTTGGACATATCTTGCAATATTGCTTGCTGTGCAGGTTAAACAATTTAGTACTAAAGGGTAGTAACTGTTTGGAAATTTGTTTAAAGCGTGAAAGGAATGAATGGTTTGACTGGTGAAGGGGTGTGTCTCATTTATCAGAGCTGAAGTGTTGCTTCAGTATGTTTACAAAAATATATACAGGCATCAGACTGGTCGGTCAGGTTTTGGATTGACCAATAAGCAGTCTTCTCTAACTGTTGGGCTATTTAGAGGCCGTAGTTTTCAGAAAATGCATCTTTTTCTTCGTATAATGAAATCTTCTATGTAGCAAATGAGTCTTATAATTTGCATTTTTCCTGGTGGTGGTTTATTATGTTACGTTCTACCTATGGATGTATAGAGGCCCACGTGACAGATTTCAGGCTTTGTATAGATGTGCCACCCAGACCATACACTTCACAACTTCTTTGGTGTCTGCGGTTGTCTAGGTGCTTTTCCACGTAGTGTGCACTTTTTTTTTTTTTTGGTAATGGTTTAGAATTAAAGACTGTACATGACACTGTCCCTGATAGGCACATGCACAACAAAGAATGACAGAGCACATTGCTAGACTGCTAAGTTTAAATTTGAATGAGAAATGATAATTGCTGTAACTGCAAATGCAGCAGATACTGGGGATGTTAAACAATAGTTATGTGAAACCCAAAACCTAAGACGGGGGCTTGATCTATACTGAGTTCAAAGTGAGTAATCAGCCATCTTGCACTGTTTGGGAATTGCATCATCTGGATCTTGTAGCAACATCAAATGATACACAGATGTAAAAATTATACTACTGTTACCTTAAATTAGAGCTGGGCGATATAAGATTTTTTCATATCACGATATGTTTTTTTCATTTCAGGCGATAACGATATCTATCACGATATAAGCCAAATAACTATATTTGTAAGATTTAAATGTGCCGTTGCTCACAAGTAAA